CGCGCTTTGCGACAGACAATCACAAGCGTCGAATTCAAATTTGTTGCGAGACAAGTTGCAGCTTCAGTGGTAATACGAGCAGCAAAACTAAAATTTGTTGCAGAAAGTAGAACTCGAGTCTACTTTGCGCAACATGTTGCCTCAACCTACAACACTGTATTTTGCTGCGAGACAAGTTGGTCACAAACGTGGTAATACGCGCAACAGAGTGTTTCAACTTGCAATGCAACAGTGTTGCGAGACAAGTTGAAGAAAAATGTTGCCCGGATTACCGGACCTTAATGGAGCCGTGACTACTCCGAAAGGTCGGGTTTGATCGTCTGTTTTTTCCGTCTTATGTTTGTGTAATTATTTATTTTTTTATTGCTCGAATATCAGACCTTTCGACCTGTTACAAGGTGGATAGTATTTCAGTATGCCATATATTGCTACTACAAATTTGTGTTTGGTTTGGATCAATATATTAGTAATTATGTGAAATGTGCCTATAAAATGTCTGTAATTATAGCGCTTCCATAAATGATCTGTAATGAAATAAATCATTAGTGTGGCTTGAATATTAGAGCTATGGATCTGAAATTTGGCAGAAATCATCAATAGATAAATAGATGAAAGCCAAATAAAAAATGAATTCATGCCGTAAGTACAGACTAAATTACAGTTCCTTCTTTCTGTCCTGTTGTTTCATTAGTTAGATGGCGACATTTAGCTCATGATTTCATGTCTCGGCTCCCGCCAAAATCCAAAGTTTCCAAAATTTCTCTTGAGCTGGATCACCACGAAAGCAATGGAAAACTGTGCGAAGATACTAAACGAAAACTGACAGTATTCAACAACGCACCAATCGAAGCATTTGTACTGTTACTGGAATATCACTGGGTGGAGGAGATCATCAATCAGGTTTGGCGGCATGTTGCAAAGTAATACAATAACACTTCATTGTCTTTGCTTTGAACTGTACTTTATATTACCAATAAAAGTTACAGCTGCTATAACTAATTACCTGTAATAAGGTCATTTATTTTAAGTGAACCACCCCTGCAAGAGATTCGGCAAATCGCCATCGGCTTACTGGTCGTTTCAATATTATAACCATAATAAGAATGAATGTGAACGCTTCCTGTTCCATTGCACGCTGTCTACAATCCAATTCTGTCTGTGCCAATGAAGTAAAAAATAATTTTTGCTTATTTGAAAGGCTTTTCAAAGTAAAGAAGAATAGCGTTTTCCTTTTTGGAACATCATTTTTCGTTTTAGAGATATTTATTTATATATATTAAATGTAGAGATATTTATGTTTTTGTATTATGCAAACGAGAAAAGTGATGACGTCATAGGTGGTTCCACTAAGACAATACAACACTCAATCAAGAATATCTCTAGAAATATTAAAGCAGTGTTCTTTAAACTTGGCACCAGAAATGTACACCACAAAAGAAACAAAACGAGACCCGTCGTGCCGTTGCCATGACAACAGTTATGCTTCTGGTCCTGTTTTAATTAAGACTAAAATTGCCAGATCATCCACTCCCAACAGTCTAATGGGGAGAGTTAGGACAATATGGGAACCACGTGTGTTCCGAGCAAGACCCTCGGTCCCACTTCAAAAGGTTACGAATGGGGATATTTGGTTTTTCACAGAAAGAGACTGGAGCTAAGAGTGTTGCCATGGCAACAACATAGTAGGTGTCATTCTGTTTCTTTTGAGATGTACATTTCTGGTGCCAATTTGAGGAACACTGCTCCAATATTCATGGAGATATTCTTGATTCAGTACTTTACTGTTTAATTGGAACTATTTATGACGTCATCACTTTCTTCATTTGCCTAATACAAAAACGTGAATAATCTAAAACGAAAAAAGATATTCCAAAGAGGAAAACGCCATTCTTCTTTACTTTGAAAAACTTTTCAAATAAGCAGCAATTATTTTTTACTTCATAGGCACTTGGCAAATTGAACAATTTAATGTAACGTATTTGTTCATTAAGACGTATTTTGCCTGAATTCTGATCAACTGACGTAATTATATATCCACAAAGCTTAATGGCAGGCTAATATAGTGAACGTATTAATCTGTTCGGCCACATCTGATCGCATCAATCTTGTTGTATTTAATTAGGTGCACTGTTCCTGCTCATTGAAGATCGAAAAACCTCATAACTGGCTCCTTGCTGACCCTGTAAGTGACATAGCGTTGGCTATCAACATGTCGATAAGAAAACGGTACACCTCCGGTTCAACATTTTCAACAATAATTCTTGATTCAATTTAGGTTTCGTCCCCTGGTATGAAGGTACAATCTTCACAAGTAGTCATGGGATTCCAGCCGCTTAATTCTAACAGTAACATGACGAAGCGCTTGATGACGGAATTACCTTCACAACACATCGAGGTTTGTTCTTCAATGTTCTCGACTCTCCATCGAACGTTTTACGTCAGCAGAAAAGAGTAGCATGTTAACAAATCTCTAAATGAGGGGGATGAATCTTTGTTTTGTCGGAAATTATTGAGTGGTCGTTTAATAACAGTTGCAAATTTTAAAGTGGTATGAAGGATATTACCTAGGATATTTTATTTAAAAAAAAACGTATTGTCATTTCAATGTTCGCAAATACTCCAACCTCTTAGGGCATCGTTTTAAGCAGATTTCAAACTGTTGACTTTCAAACTTAGTCTACATGTTCCTTCTAGTTAGAGCGAAATGTTGTTTTATTTCTATCTGTTTTCTTTTTTATCTGCTGACTTTCTGAACGTAACCTGTAAACTGCGGTGTCAGCTAAGATCGCGCCTATTATATTTATGAGCACCAGAGCTGAACAGTTTTGCTATAATTTCAGTTGACTATCGTCACTGAATCCCTTTCTTCCATGCATAAAATTTATAACATTAGTTCTATTTTCCTCCACAAAGGATTCCTCTCGTCTCATTTACGATGCTGTCTGGACGGTGGCGCATGCGCTGCACGTAGTAATTTCTTCTGGTAAATGGAAGAATTACTCAACTGACGGTTCACAGATATCACAGAACGGTGATGCTATCTTAGAACACTTGAAAAAGGTAAGCTTAGAAAATGAAACGCAGTCCAGGAAGAGCTTTTTCCAAGACAAATATAGTATTCAACGTTTTAAGCTTGCAAACCTGTTTGATTATTTCAGGTGGAATTAACAGGAACAACAGATCTCATAAAGTTTAATGATTCAGGAGGTAGGGTGAACAGTAATCTTGCTGTCAAGAATCTACGAGATGACAAGTTTGTGACGGTTAGTTCAGGCTTCTGACTTCATAAGAAAGTCTGCTTTTATGTCGATTTGTTGATGCATTTATTCACAATGTGGGATTATATGTAAAATAATCTGCTTCTTGAACTTTACCAGATCGGTAAGTGGAGTTCTTCGCAGAGCGAGCTTCAACTCTCCAGTATACCACACCAAAACAAACAGGCCACTGGGCTAGTACCGCTGGACAAACTTAGTAGGCGGCTCAAGGTAGTTGTGGTAAAGGTGAGAAATTTGTCCGATGATCGACATTACAGGTTAATAGCACATTTTTTACTAAAGCGTCGAAAGTAATTTTCATTGCTTTGGTTTTGTATTTTGCAATTTGCACTTGGCTGAACACAGTTTTTGATACCTGTACTTCATTCGCGTTTTTCTCTTAAACCCTTAATCCTTTGGTCGCCAAAAATGGCAGCAAGCAAGTTAACAACACAAGCGTTGGTTTTATGATAGTTAAACTGACGTATGTGCCGTTGCCACGGCAACATGAATAAATTAGAACAGGCCTTTAAAATCGGTTTTGTTTATTTGCAGAAAATTTAGTAAAAAGATTTACTGTATAATTTGCATGCACCTAGCTTGTAACGATGCTCACAAGTTAACACTACTTTAATAATAATTTAACAAAGGGATCTTTCATGATTATCCCTTGTTGCAGGTTCACTGGAATATCTAGAATTTCCTCTGTTAAAGTTCAAATTTTTGTCAATACTCCAGTTACTTATTTTCTTAAATATTTTCGTGCCAAATTTCGTGAAATTCTAAACCGAGAAAGCTATTCCGCGTTCAATCGCAATTTTTCGATTTACTACGCATGCGCTGCATTTAACTGGGTTTTTTTTTGGTAACACTGAAAAAGCTGAGAGTTGCTGGGTTCTTTGAATCGTTACCTTTTTTAACATACCTTTGTAATAAAAGACTAAAACCATCAGTACACTGTGTTCAATTATGAAGAAAAATAGTACAGACAGCGCGGGCATTAAGCAAATAACATGATCGCTGTATTGACGCCATGTTCGTTTTTTAATTAATTTTGCAATCCTTGTGCGCGCGCTGAATTGCATTAACATGAGCTCGCGCGAAAGCTGTGTTCAGCCACCTTAACAAATAAAGAAGCCTAAGCCGTTTATTACACTGTGATAAAACACGACGGGCATTTGAGAACACGAGGGAAATGTAGAAAACACGAGCCGCTGGTGAGTGTTTTCTACATTTCTCGCATCAGAGTGCGCGCAGGGTCCTATTTATATATGATTATAAATTATAAGCATCTTCATCAGTGAACATAGCGAATTGGGTTTCCTGTATTTCTTTTGTTGGCGATTTGAAGTTTTTCTGAAACTTGCGCGGCGGTGGCGATTTGAATTTGGGCAATGGCTGAGTGATTTAAAGAGTAATCGAGATTGTGTTTCTTCATATCTATATCACGGGCTCAGTAAAATCACTTTACTACTGACTGTCACTTCAGGTTATGCTGTGTTATAAACTAATTAATGTTTTCTGGACGAGCTTACAATTGACATCTTTGGTAACAAAATCTGTGATAAACTTAGGTATCGCTCTTTTTACAAGATCTATTTGATAGTCGAACGTTGACACTTAAAAAACTTAGGTCTTAATATCGTGCTCAGTGACAACGTACCAAGTGTCAGATTTTTGTGTAAGAATTTTGTACAAGCTTTCGTTTTTAGTTTGCTATTACTGACAATTATGCTATGATTTCTTTTTTATGTAGTTCTATGATAACAGCGCTCTTTACTTTTTTTGATAGGATGCTCCTTTTGTAATGGAAAACAAAGATGGCAAGTTGGAAGGCTTTAGTATTGATCTTATCGATAAAATCGCAGAGATGCTCTCCTTCAGATATGAGGTTTATCTAAGCCCTGACGGTTTATATGGAGGTTGGAACGAAGAAACAGGCTATACGGGCATAGTTGGAGAGGTCACAAGTAATGTGAGAATCCAATACAGTGAGAAAACATTAAACGTAGACAAGCAACAACACACTAATTTTCTATTAAAAGTATTATTCTGTTAAGCGAACTGAGATTTGACTGTCGTAGATCTGTCTTTCAAGGGAACAAAAACTCTTGTCGCCTTTTAACAATATTTCAGATGCTATATTCAAATAAAAATTAAAAGAAAAGTGTTTCAGATGCAGATTTGAATTTGTACTGAATTCAAAACAGTAACTTTGAGTGTATGAGAGCAAAAGAAAGTGAAGAGGTGAACTCTCGTCTCTCAAATATCGTTCTCGCGTTTAATTCATTCGACCCATACTGGCGTGAAATAATTCTCAAAAAAACGTTCTTTAAAACAGTAAATACCTAAGGTCATTATGCATGTTTCCGAGTGACTGAAGAATGACTGAAATATGATCAAAGCAGTTCGGTCATTGAGAAAAATTTCCGTGTTACTTTTGTCATGTAAAACGTGTAAGAAAGGGTGGCTGATTTGAAAATTCCTGATCGCTCATTTTATAAAGTTTTCCAAGTGTCCTTTTGTCAAAATTACAATTAATGTTATTTTGTTTTTTCTCACGTAGCACGCAGACTTGTCTACCTCTCCGCTGACCATCAACTCTGAGCGACTGCAGGTGCTTGAGTTCAGCAAACCTTTCATGCAGTTTACGATGAGTTTAATCAGCAAGAAATTGGACACTAATGACCACGATCTAACAACCTTCATGCTACCATACTCCACAACAGTCTGGCTTGTAACACTTGCCTGTCTTCTTTTTGTGACAGTCTTAATGTACCTGGTAAATTTATTCAGCCCTTATGGTCACCGATCGAGCCATATGCATTACGGAGAGACTGGGGAAGAGTTTGACTTCTTCAATAGTTTATGGTTTTGTCTCGCTTCCATGTTACAACAAGGCGCAGATCACACGCCCAAATCACTGTCAGGTCGGTTATTTCCTTTCTTTAAAACGCAGCAGAGAGATTAAACAAAAAGATAACAGATATTTAACAAGACTTTAAAAGTAAATTTACTGCTGTAATATTTTGAAGAAAAAGTTAAGGAACAAAATATTGTAATTCAGAGACTTCATATGTAAGTAAATGGTTGCTTTTCAAAGTTTCGTGATACTACTGAGTAAAGTCAGGAAGAGAACTCTTAAACCTGCATGACTTGCCACGCTAAAGAGTTTCGGCTTGACGACAATCGGTAAACGCTTTAGTGGTTCGTCAAGTTCTAGATAGACTTTGGAAGCTTAGCAACCTGGAAGCTCTGGTGAACACAGTGTAAAGTTCAGCGACATCATGACACAACTCTCGCGCTTGTTCTTCTGCATGTTGACTTAGCAGGATTTGAGGTGAAAATTCTTAAACCTTATTTGCAGGTCGTGTCCTCGCTGGTTGCTTTTGGTTTTGTATACTGATTTGGATCTCAACCTACACCGCCAATTTAGCTGCTTTCTTCACTGTACGCAACAGCGAAAGACAAATCAACACATTGGAAGACGTCGTGGAAGGCGATTATCCATTTTATGTCATGCGCGATAGTGCTATTCACGAGTTCTTTCGAGTGGCCGAGTATCACACATACAGAAAACTCTGGGAACGTATGAACGCCGCCAGCACATTCGTGAACTCTACCGGCGAGGGATATGAGATCACAAGGAAAGTTGAAAATGCTGTGTTTATGGCAGAGAAACCATCAACCGAATACGTCATTATGCAAAAACCGTGCGATTTAAGAACTGGTAAGAAAACACTTTTTACCCGAATTCAAACATTTTAACCCAAAAATGCAAAACGCACACAAACCATGATGGCATGATTAAGG